TCACTTCCCTGTGCTGTTCCCTGTTCCCCAAACACCTGTATTGTTGTGTTTTCATGGACTTGTACCGTTTACTCAGCCTGCAAGGCCCAATCCAAGCTATCCCCCCACCGACAGAAGCCTTCTCAGGGTCTTCAGAATTGCTTCTCGGAAATGCTTGCTCTGCAGTTGTGATCCTCTGTCTTGGTTCTTCCTGGTGATTCCTTGACCTCGTTTTCTCTGTGGTCACCGAGCTGACCCGAGCAGGGGTGTCCAGTGCCACTTCCTTCTGCCTCAGGCCTGGTACAGGCTCTGTTCTCAGAGGATGGTCACTAGGTGTTGCCAGGTGGATTCTTTCCGGCAGGGACAGACTCCAGAAGACACAGAGGCCGTGGGCTGTTCCACACCCCAGCGTCCTGTTTCCAGCACGCGTCACACTCAGAAGTCGTCTCGTCCTTTCCCTGTCCGCTTCCTTCCTGCTCCACGGGTGGGCGAGCCCCGCGCCGTGTAAGGCCGCCTGCGGGTCGAGCCGACTTGACTCAAACTCAGAGCAGCCCTGGCGCACAGTGGCTCAGCTGATGCTTGATGAAGGAGTTTGTGAGTGAATAAGTGAAAGCAGAAACCACGTTCCAACCTTATCAGACACAGGCGGTGCCTGTGGTGCCTGGGGCCTCACCTCTCACCCCCAGCGAGGTAGGGCTTTCCTTCCCTTGTGTTTTTATGTCTTGTTTTGTTTTCTGATTTTTAATTCTCACCTGTGGATATGTTTATTGATTTTTTTAGAGAGAGAGGAAGGGAGAGAGAGAGAGATTAAAAAACATTGATGTGAAAGAAAAACATTGATCAGTTGCCTCCCTGAGTAGGGATTGAACCAGCAACCTAGGCATTTTCCCTGACCGGGATCGAACCCGCAGCCTTTTGGTGCATGTGATGATGCTCCAACCAACTGAGCCAGGGCTCTTTCCATTGCGTTTAGGGCCCGGTGTCCTGGTGATGTGGAAAGAGAAGACAGGGATGGTCAGTAGACAGGAGACAAGAAAGCAGAAATGCTTGGCATCGCTAAGGGGTGGACTTTGGACCCAGATGGTCGGGCCAGGTCCTGGCTCCAGCACCAGCAGCTCCGCACCCCAGATTCACAGGTGGAGCAGGTGTTTACTGGAGCACCTCCTGGGTGCCGGCATCAGGGTAGGTACCAGGGACACAGCGGTGGACAAGACAGCCTCGGCGCCTGTGGGAAAGACGGAAGACAACAGTAGGCCATCCACCCAGGTTGCTATCTGAGTGTGACCAGTGCTGGGAGGGAGGGGAGTGTTATGAATAAGGGAGGTGGCCCTGCTCTAGGCTCGGAGATTAGCCCGTGAGCTGTGAGCTCTGCCATTGGTATTCCTCGCTGCCTTGCTCTAGAACATGCTGGACTTGGGGTTTGCGGGATCCTTCAGTGGGGAGGGGAGAGGTTCGGCTCTGGGGACAAGCACACTGACCACCCTGAGCCGAGAGGGGACTGGGAGGGGCCACAGCCTGGGCCTTCAGCTCTGGCCTGTCATGTCAGCAGGGTGCCGCCTGTCCGGCCGTCCTCTGGGCGCCTGGGGGCCCCGCCTGCCCTGTCGCTGTGTGTGGTACCTCTCGCGCACATGTGGGGAAACACTGTCTTTAATTATCTGCTAATGTCTCACAGGCAGCAGAGGTGTGGCACTGGGCGCGCTGTGTTATCAGGGGTGGAGGGGCCTGCTAGTGCGCGTGGAAGGGGCTCCTCCCAACTCCAGAGCCACTTGGCAGTTCACAGGCTGGAGACAGGGAAGTGGCTGGCACGCCCAGCCCTCCCTTCTCCGTGGACCCACATGTCCCGATGCATGCATACACGCCCACACAGGCACACGCCCACCATACAGGTTCACACCTATGCACGTTCCCACACACCACTCTCCCACATTCACACCCACCCTCCCGTGCGTGGGAGCCACTCCATGCCCAGAAGGCCCACGCCCACCTCTTGCTCACTCAGACCCCCCACCCCCCGTTGGTGACACATTTATGCTCTCTCTGCCCTCAGGGTGTGTATAAGGAATTCCTTCATTGAACAGCCCAGCCTCGCTCCTGAAGTTTCTGTTCTTGGGTTGAAGTCACAGTGTTCAGAGCCCTCACTGGCTGGGCCCTGGGACAGAGCCACCTGAGGGAAGTGGGGGGCAAGGGTGTTTCCTCCTTCAGGCCTCCGGAGATGCCCCTTGGGCTTGGGGGTTTTTGCTCCCCTGTGAGAGCAGGCCCCTGAGGAATCATTCACACTAAGCATGTTGCACATTTAGCACATGAACAAATCAGACCTTTGGAGCTGAAGGTCCCCCATTGCTCCCTGCTGAATTTGGAATCAAGTTCAAGCCCCTGCCTGCCTCCCCAGGCACATCCATGGCCCTCTCGGGCTGCATTTTACCTCCAAGACCTTGGCTTCACCCTTCCTGTATCGGGTGACCTGGACCAGGGTCTCAGCAGCGCAGGTAGCAAATGGGGTGGGATTTGTGGTCTGACCTGTAGTTTATTCTTTGTGCTGTTCCATTTTGCTTTGGCTGCCAGGAAGCTCAGAGCCACATGTATGCCCTCCTCGGGCACCCATGTGAGGTCTCTACCCCTGGATGCTGCGGCCTGTCCAGATCCCCTTCCTCCAGATTTCCTCAGATGTTCACCTTATCTTGTTGGGCATGTGTGCTTTTTATAACTGCCACCCATCCTTGGTGGAACCAGGCGAGGTATAAAGAAAGCAATGGCAATGCTCCGTCGTCCCCATGCTCATCTCTGTGGGTCTTGTCTTTATCATCACATGAGCCCCAAGGCTTGGGGAGACCTGGCCAGTTCTTTGCAAATGATGCCTCCAGGGCAGCCAGCTTTCCCGGAACAGGTGGCCCTGGCCGTTCCGCTCCATCTGGTGTCTGTGGGTGCAGGAAGGAAAGGCCAGGATATCAGGGAATAAACTGCCTCTGGGAAAAGGAGGGCCAGCTGCACCCTGCACACCTGGCGAGGAGCTGGGGCGAGGATAGCGGGAGGGACCCTGACTGGCATCCTTGAGTCGCCTTGGCTCAATCACTCCCTCACCTGCATGTCCCGGCTCCTACTGGGTGCTGGGCATCAGGGTTACAGTGGAAAACAAGCAGAGAACGTCATTGCCTTTGGTGTCTTACTGGTGGCAGAGCCTTGAGGGAGAAGTTCTGAAATAACACCCAGGTTCACCCTGGATAAAACAGCCTCCCCCCAGGGCTGCTCTGTGGACCAGCTGTGGCCGCAGGCCCCAAGCGCCCAGTTCTTGCTCAATATACAGAGAGAGAGAATGGACTCACCTGCTGGCCTGGCCGTCCTGGCTTGGTGTCCCACCATCGTCTCCAGTCTGGGTGATATATTTATGCAGTCACCCTAGAAGCAGCTGAGAGATCCGAAAGGGGTCTCTGGGGTCAGGCTGCTCGAGGCCACACCTTACCTCAGTGTCCCTCGCTCCATGACAGGTGTAACAACATGTCTACCCTATAGATTCACTGTGAGGGTAAATAACACCTGTCCCCTGAGGTGTTAGGCTGGGTCTGACAGTCACAGTCGATCACAGGTCCCTTCCCCTTTTACTGCAGGTGGACTCACTTCATCCAAGTGACACGGGGAGGTTAAATCCGAGATCCTGCAGGGGACTCAGGTCCTCATCACTGCCTCTGTCCCAGAAGGGCTTTGGGGCAACTTGGGCATTTTTTTCTGAGTCCTACCACAGTGACACAGTGACACTCTGGTCTCGGCTCTGCCCGTCGAAGGGGATCGGTGAGCTGACGGGGCACCACGCTGTTCCACAGGGTCCATATCTCACCGCTGTATTGTGTTTCGTTTTCCATTTTAATCTTTCTTTAGAAAATAATGCACCCCCCTCCCATGCAGCCTGTGGTGAAGCCCACTCCCCCCT